ATGCTGTTAGTGCAACGGACAAGCCGTTTATCTGAGACCAACCATTAATGACGTAGCACAAGTCTTACGAGCCAGTTTTATCATCGTGTCAACACCAGTTGCCACTAACAATACACCCTGAATGCTAACACTCGCACAGGCGGCCTTTTTGCATTTCACAGTCTGGACCGAAAAACCGGCCAATTTTGTTTGCCTTGCCTCGCGTTCTGTGAGCATTTTGATTCGCCCGTTCCCTTTTTCGTCTGATTGCACACTCTGAAACATTTAACACCCATCGCGCCCATTACAATACCTACTCTAATTAACCGAAAAACTTCGCCCGAGGCATTCAGAAAGCCAAATTAACAAACAAAACAGTCCTCCATTTTAAAAACTTCGCAGGACATGATTATAATTTTTTTTTTATAAACACGATGTTTGTGAAACTGCTGATAAAACACCTGATTTAAACTTATTGATGTAGCGGGCGTTTAATTGTTTTGTGGTATTATTTATTTTAGTCGATTGGTCGATTTAAGTACAATAATAGAACGACATTACATGCCCCTGTGTAATTAATTTAACTGTAGATATTCATCTACATTGGAAGTAACAATATCTTTAAAGTATTGCTACTAGCTTGTTGCTGGATATACACCTTGTAACGTACATCGTTTAACACTGTCAAACCAATATTTTGTTTTTTTACGTGCATAGTAATCTGAGAATTTTTCTAAAAAAAGATTACATAAAATAATCTGAAAGTCAAATGTATGATACCTATGATAAAATATTACCTTGATATATAATAATAATAAATTTGATTATACCTCTTAAAATAAATTACTCAATTACCAATTATAAGTCATATTTGCCTAATTGACATAGCGACAAAGCAGTCACTAATAATTAGTAAAATTCTACCGAATGAAATGGTAAAATTGGTAGATTTTAATTTAAAAAGATTTGTCCCAGCCGGGGTTTGAACTCGAATCTCTTAGTCCCTTGTACAGAGCTCCATTTAATAACTATGGAGCAGTTTTGCCCTTTTTTCGCAGAGCAAATGTGAGGCCAGCTTAATCCGGGTAGAAATAAAAAAGTTTTGAAAAATGGAAGGAAGAGGAATATTGAGAGAGTGAGAAGTTTGGAAGAATGTTTCGGGGGAAAAATAAATTCAAAAAACCCCTTTAAAAAATTTGGAAAAATAGTAACAAACAAAAAGATAAATATAGAGTGAAGAGACCTGCAGTACCATGGGTTTCTGCCCGAGTTGGTGATGTGCCTTAGCGCTTTATTTTGCAGTCGCTGAAAAGCTCTGTATTGGGTGTTAGATGCACTGCACCATACCGGGCAACCATAGGTGATTACCGGTCTGATGCAGGATTTGTAAAGTATAATTTTGATTTCGATTGACAGCGGAGAGTTTTTGATGATGAGGGGGTATATTCATTTAAGAGCTTGGGAAAGTCTGGACTTGAGAAAATTAATATAGGGAATAAACCTCAGTCTTCTGTCCAAGATGATGCCGAGGTATTTTACAGAGCGCCTAGATACTGCCCTACTACGGAGAAAGGCAGTAACGGCTAAACAAGAAATTTGTTCAAAAAAAGCATAAACTACATTTTTATAAAAAGCAGTAGGTATTTAATTGATTTTTTTAACTTATGAGGTATTCGACTGCATTTCTTTGGTGAATTCGGTTACAAAATGTCCATGGCTTTACCATAGCACAAGAAAACGCATTTTGCATTTTTTTGCAGTTACTGCCTTTCTCCATAGTAGGGCAGGATACTGCAGTATGGTTCTCTAGAGAAAGTGATGAAAAGATTTTGTTGTTCGTAAACTTGATCGTGAAGTTGATCAGCTTGTCAAGCGGATGTCTAAACGCTTCACCACTGGTACTTTTTAAAAATTAGTTATATTTGTCTATAAATATTCTTAATAATATTTTAAAGTTGAATATCTTTTTGTGTTGTTGTTTGGAGCTAAACTGAAGGCATGTTTGTTTGTTATTAAGAGCCATTTAACCATGGAGCCAAAATGCATTTAACTAAAAGTAATTTGTTGTTGGCCGCAATAATCAATGATGGTGACTTATCTTAAATTGGTCAAACTTTAACTATTTAAGCAGTAAAAAATAACTATTTAAAATTAAAAACGACTAATTTATTAGTAAACAATGCTGGTACAAATTTATATAGTAGAGTTCTGACTATTTCATTTTAGTGGAATTGTATTGAAATTAATAATATTTATAGATATTATTACTTTCTATAAAATTCTGGGTTATGTAAAATGCACACAAATAAAAAAATTACCTTTAATAAATATATTAAGAATTTTCATTCACCTCCTTGATGATTTTAATTCTTAGATAATTAGTTTTAACTATTAATAATCAATAAAAAATGTTTGTGTTTTATCCCACTAACTTATTCAAATCAATAACTGTGCATCACAAGAATGCAAACAAAATTCCCCTAATCGTTTTTTTTTTTCGATAAATATGTTTTATCCCCCATTTTCAATCCCTTCTTCCATTTTAATTACCCAATCTAAACAAACTTCTTATTGAAATTTAAAACATTTAGATTAATTACAAGTAATTTTACAGTGGCTTGGCCCGCCGCAGAATTCTTTGTGTGGTAACACACGGTATTTAACATAGTTTATAAACAGAGGCAGAGTGTTGCTACATCATTTCCTTGGAGAGCTTTACGCTGGAATTGCTTGATGTTTAGTTTTCAAACTTAAATTGCTTGTTCATAGGATCACATCGACACGTCAGGACTTACTTAAACTTATCAGTTTTGCGGAACATTCCAAATTTAATGAGGACATCTTTAGATTTTTCTTAATTAAAAATATAATTGATTTTGTTTGATAAAATATTTTTAAAATAATGTTCCAGGAAAAATTAAAGCGGTGAAGAAGTTAATATGCTTACTGTATCCCTCAGATCTGAGCTCGGCTGTAATAAACACTTTCTCCGCCTTTTAAATAATGTACTATTTTAACCGCTTAATAATTATTATGTTATAACACTCATACGTCTATATAGAAATACTTCATTAATACTATTTCAAAGTTAAATTATTAAAAACCTCAGTAGCAAAATAAAGCTAAAATGTCATCATGTCAGTTAAACCTAACCTAAAAATGATGTAATAAAATATTTTACTAAAAGAAAAACCATTCTAATTAAGTCATTTATAAAATATAAAATATAAAACACGTTTGGCGAAAGCCTATTAATTGGTTCGCACTGAAATATATGCTCAGCTGAGCTTTCTTCGCCTGGTTTATGTACGCCTTCTACGTACAAAAACAGTACCGTCAACTTTGCATGTAAACAGTTACTAATTTGGCATCTGTCACCCAATATATTTCTGAAATTTGGGATAGGCGTCCACAGGTCGATTCTATTTACTAAACCTTAATGGTTTTGGGTTTTTTTCTAATTTCGTAAAACTTCTTAAATCATACTCGTTAACCGAAAATATATACAAAAAAGTTTATACACAAAGTTTATATACATGCTCATGCTCTTTAACTGCCGGCTCTTGAGTACCCCAGGGCTCCAATCTAGCCCCACTTCTATTTAATTTGTACATTAATGACTTTCATCAGTTTAATGTCTTACTTTGACCTATGCAGCTGATATTAAATTCTATAAAAAATATCTACACCTTTGGATGCTGAATGTTACAGCGAGACCCGTTCGTTTTGACTTCAATTTTAACCTTGAATAACTTTTCATGGAGTGAATTTAGCCAAAAATGATAAAAGACTTTTTTTGTAGAGCATTTGATTTCTCATAAGAATATTTATCGTTTTTTTTTTCAGGGTACTGATTTTTACTTAAATTACAAAATTCCAGGTTAAAAGATCAAATTGTAAAACCATACCAATTTTTAAGGCATGATTGTAAGAAAAGGGTTCATCTGACGGGAAATTCCAATTTAACCCTTTTTGTAGAGCATTCAATTTTCTTTAAAAAATATTCTTAAGTCAATTTTGTTAAACTCAATAATTTGGGAGTTCTGAGACAAAAACTCGCTCAGGAAAAAAAAATCTAAAATTGCGATGATTAATATTATGGACTCAAAGTTTCACCTTATTTTTTTTGTCACCCCAAACAATATTTTCGATATACTTTCCAAAAAAAAAAAATAGTCGATTTTTTTGGCCCAGTCTAATGTGCAGTGTTGCAGTGATTTTTAGTATTTTTACTACGAGATTGTGGATTGTGGTCGAGCATACATTTTAGTGCAGAAGCAATTTTTTTGAAGCATTTAATTAGAATAAAAAGTGTCTTTAAAATTTTCTCATTTTTAGGTTAGGTTCAACTGACATTTTCAACCAATATTTTAGCTTTATTTTTGTACTGAAATTTATAATTATTTGAATATTTATAAATCGACTATTTTTTATATAGACTTATGAGGGTTATAATAATAATAAATTGTACACGCTTAAAAATAGTACATTACGATGTAGATGTAAAGCAATTACGAGCCTCGCGGTGTTACATACTAGCCGCAAGCGAGTGTAATATAATATACCTATTATTAAAAGTACCTTATACCACATATAAAATGTTACTAATGCATTGCTGAGTATCTTTGTTGGATGCTGAATATTTCCCTACACACTTTTACACGTTGTTATAGCTACTTATTTCTCCGTTTTGTATGTTGGGAAAATTCCTGCACTGTAATTATTATTTTAAAGTGCAATCTTCTGGAAAATTTAGGAAACAATGAAAATACTTGGGTAAAATGCAATATATCTTTAATAACTGTTTACTAAACTTTACTTTGAAACTTTTAATTTATTATAAAAAAATACGAATATAAAAATAATAAACTATATAAGTTTAAAAAGTTATGATAAATTAAATAAGCAGGATCATTTTGACTTTATATTTAAAAAACTATGTAGCACAATTTGCTCGAAATGATTAATGTAGTGTATTTCATAAATCTTTCGAAGTTGTGCGGTTATTTATGGTGTTTTTTTATTTGCAGTTACTACGCTTCAACGGCGTTCCCGGTCGCTCCGACACGATTGGTTCCCCCAATCAAAAGGCAAAGGCTGATGACAACTGCAAGAAATGGCAAAAACAATCAGTCGCAGAAAACCACATCTATTCCTCCACTCGATCAACTCAAAGTATATAGTAAGTATCCCTAGATTAAATGAAAATGTTACAAAAAAGACTTCCTAACCTACTTACTTACGTAATTTATATTGATAAAAAAAAAACAATTTTGGAATCATTAAAGTTTTATTTTTTTTCTACTAGAGTTCAAAAAGTTGCTTTACATTTTCGTACGCAACACCCGTGCGGAAAGTAAAAAAATGTTATAGTTAAAAATATAAACTGGCAAAGAAAATTGCGAGATTCTCTTGCTTTCATTTAACGGCAATCGCTTGCAGAAAAGTATCACTTTCTGTAAATAAATATTTGGCCAAATACTTCCTTATGATCAGATACCTACAGAAAAAATCACTGGGGAAAAATGTTTGTGAATACATTGAATGCAGCGAAAATTCACAGCAAAATTAATGCATTTTCTTTATTAAAACTGCGGATGACCACAATTAATTTTTTTTACAATTACTTTTTTCAATTATTTTAAGTTTTTGTGCAAAATTAAAACATTAAAACATATGCTTGTGGCCCCAACAAATTAATGCAGTCGATTCCTCCAGATGTGGATTTTGCCAATTATTTTCTAATTAAACGTCCCAGACAAAATGTGAATGAGCGGCAACGTTTAAATTCGTTCCTCAACTTGAAAGTGCTGGAACCTATATACCATAAACTAATTCTAACATTACTTCGGTATTTTGGCTTTTAAATAAATGTTCTAATCACGAGGCACGAACCACTTTTCATCGTCCTTAAATTTTAAAAGTTGTTTACTCAAATCAATAGTAAAAAGAAAAGTACTTGATGAATATTGACAAAATTTTGACAGCAGGGCCTGCTGAGCAGGCTACTGGCAGTTTTTATTTAACGGTAAAAAACTACTACTACTACAACTTACACCACCCTACCAACAACGACGATACTAATAACGAAAAAGTAAAGAGACTCGTCATCCGACACTTTACTATATGTAATTTTATCGTCGACGATATCGTCATGACGAGTTGTTAGAAATAAAAATATCTGAGTCTGAACAATTTCCGTCTTGAACGGTTTTATTTTCGTAAGTAATATCATAAGGGCATTTAATTTTTCCGAAAAGAATCGAAAAAACACGTTGCTAAGTAATATTTTAACAAAAAGCATGAGTGCTGGTGGCAACAAAAATCCGAGTCGAAGAGGAGGATTTTTGCACCTGCACGAATGCATTTTGTTAAAAAATATTACTTAGCATTGTGTTTTTTCGATTTTTTTCACAGGAAAAATTAGATGCCCGAATGGTATTTGACAAGACTATTTCATGAGTAACAGTTAACAATTAAAATATAAATTGCAATTTTTTGTGACAACAGCTGTCAAGTTTTGCCGCGGGTAAACTCGAATAAACTGCTGACAGGTGCTGTCACACAGTTTTTTCACCTAGAAACCATTTGTAATTCAAAATTGCGCGTTTGTGATTAGTGGAAATTAAGACGAGGGAAATAGTCACCTAAAACATGGCAGATAAGTCCATAAGTTTTATCTGGTAGTGAAATGTCTTTTCCTTCTCCTGTAAAATTTGTTAAAATGCACATATATGTTTTTCAGGCGCAGCAACGATATATTTAAATTCAAATATTGTCGCGCTTTTATTAATCGACATACCCAGTGGCCTGGGCTTTTTTGGACTGTAGGTTGTAACCGGTCATAATTTGGTTCAAATTTAAACGAAATTGAAACCGAAAAATCGAAAAAATTGACTTATCTGCCATGTTTTAGGTTAAAAGTTGGTTAAATATAAAACCGTTCAAGACCGGAATTTTTCACTTATTAGGTTTAAATTACGATCTAAATTTTGACTAGGGTTGTAAGCGGATATTTTATTCTAGAAATAACTTAGTTTAGAATATTTTTATTTATATGTAAAGTTATTTTTTTATTAATTTTTTTCCTTTAATAACATTTTGTAATAAATTAATTAGAAATATGGCAAAAAAGCCAATAAGGTAAATAATTAATCTTAATAAATAGCCGTCATTAATAAAAAACTAAAGAAGCATTTTTTATTACGTTGCAATGACACAACACTTTTTCAGAATTACTAATTTATCAGTTAATTTCATTGTGCAGTGCACCCTAGTCTAGTAGTGGCAACAGGGTATTGGCGCATTTAGCCAACTAGCGAAATAAGCACTCTATATTAATCTCAATTGTATTAATATTTAAAATGGTCGTGGGTCTGTGACGTGATAAGCGAGTAGGGGTCCCACAATACTTACATGACTTCAGTAATTGTATTGTACTGTTAATGGCTTCTACATTAACACTAAAAACATAATGGTTTGCAAATATAAATATTGCTTTAGATAGTTATTTTTCGGTTTTTATGGTTTTATATGGACCATTTATTGGTTTGTTTTTAAATCATTGCCTAAGGCAATACTTGATTGACTGATTAGTTCCAAATTTCAAAGGCTTGTCAGTCTGAAATTCTGCGGCACGAAACAATCATGTTTTCGCTTGAAGAGCGTTTTAAAATATTGAAAACTTATTTTCAAAGTCAGTGTTGAGTTACCGAAACCTTGCAAAATTTTTAAAAGGAATATGGGTCGTGAAACTGATGTAGTCAAATTGGTGAAGAAAGTTTGTGGGACATTCTTGCCATTAGAAAATAGAAAAAGTCCCCGAGGAGAATACTGCACAAAGACCTCGGAGTATTCGCATCAAGAGTTAAAATCAAATGCTTTTATATCAGTTTGCTGTGTGGTCCACAGACCAGTCACAATGACGTCGATTTTGGACGAAAAATCTTAGAGAGGCCAATGCATCCACCAAGAGTGACAGTTTACTGTGGATTTTGGATTGGTAGCATAATTGGCCAATTTTTACTCGAAAATGCGGCTGGAAACGCCGTTACCGTCAATGACGACCGTTACAGAGCCATGTTGATCAACTTTTTATTGCAGAAATAAATTAAATTCAGACGAATTTGATATAAATTCTGAAAATCATACCTACAATACAAGGCACATGAACTTTTTTTTAAATTCCACTCCACAAAAGCAGATTGGCACAACAAAGTATCACTATTAGGGACTGAAGCTGTTTTAAATAAATACTAACTTTAACTTGCAATGTTTATGAATGTATGTTATGTTGTTTATATTATATGTATACATAATATATTTTAATATAAACAACCTAACAAAAAACAGTATGTATACATATTATTATACCTACCTAGCTATGTTAATGTTAGTTTTTTAATTTTATATCTGACGTTTAATGTAATGTTTATTACTTAATAAATTTATTTATCTATTTATCTATCTATGGCTTCAAATCGACGCTGTAAATATAGACAATCTTTTCTTTTTAAATTATGGCGCCACAAGCCATACAAGCCGACTGACAATCGATGTTTTGCGCAAAAAATTTGACAACCAAATAACACTGGGCAAGAGCAAAAATGTTTTCAAAACCAAAATAGCAAAATCTTACTTATTTTATTATACTAATTAACAATCTGCCTTGCAAAAGTCTCGGTTTGATAGATACAGGCTAATTTTGATATAGTTAATTACCTGAAAATTATGTCCTTAATGTATGAGAAAAATTGTGGTGATGTAAGGAACAAGCACGGTGAGGGGTTCCACCAGGATATTTCATACATGGAAAAAAGATATCAAGGAAAATGGAACTGTGAGATGTTAGCGAACTACTGCTAAGAGGCTCAAGAGACTACTTTCAAAAGACAGGATGAAGCGCAAAATTCAATGATAAAAATGTATCATTGGATTGCTTTTATTGAACCAACAATATATTGTTATCTGTTTTTTTGTATGTTGATTGTATACATATATATATAAGATTATAAATAAAAAAATTTTAACAAATAATTCAGATTTTTTTTGCGAGACAACTAAAATTTTAAATAGGTATTTCTTAGTTACTTCGGTGTAGTTGAATAAAAAAACAGTTTTTGTTCAGGAAATAAAACAAAAGTTGAAATTTGTTGCCCAGTGTAATCAGCCGTTTTGAAGATGTCAATTGGCCTGCGCAGAGCTTTAAAACATAATATTGAGACTTTTATTGGCGGCGAAATCATAGAAAAAGGGCTTTAAGACTGGACTCATAGGATACGTCACTGTATTGCGAGCAAAGAAATTCAGGAGACTTCGACGTTTACAATTTAAAAACATGTTTTCTTTAAATATTGTTTTAAACTCATTTAATAGCGTTTATAGAAACAAACCAATAATTGCATTTCTTGTAAATATAAAGGCATGCCAAGTTTGAATAATTTATTTTGTATATGGAATATTAAAAAAAAATCTAGATATATAAGTTTAACACTAGTACCGGTAATTTTCATTTGATTTTTCTCACTGGTAATTTACCGGTAATTTTGGAAATATGTTAGAAAACAAATAATTATACCATGTGTATTTTTTACATACTTCAACGATTTATTATACTATTGTTTGTTATAAAAGGAAACCTACATAAAAATATAATGTTTAAACAAATAATATTTATTCAAAAATAAAAAATATATATTGTTCTGATTTAGTGCTATACACTAAGTAATAAAGTAAGTAGGTACCTACTTGTAAAGAACAAAAAGTATATTTAAAAATTTAAATGTTTTCTTCCTCCTCAGAATCTAGTATATTTTAAAGTTGATACTTCCCTTGATTGGCTAAACACGTCTAAATCGCAACCGGGCAGTTACCTGCCAGAAAACAATGCAACTAGGTGAAGAAAATGAATAAATCCAAGAGCGTTATAGATTCAGGGCTACATGGCAAAATCATTTTTTAAAATTACCGGTAAAGAAATTTGCCGGGTTAAATTATTAAACTTACCTTACGCACTTTAATCACTATTTAACACATTATAGAAGTTATATGAGGCCTGTCATAGCAAAAACCGACAATCTCCACTTTTGGTCAAAAATTAGATTTTTGGCGGAGACTGTACTTCAACTAATTATCTATAAGATGATAAAGTTTATGTGCTGCAAAAGGAGCTAAATCCTGCCTAAAATCCTATTTTAAAAATGACATTTAGTGAAAAATCGACAATATCCAATTCCACCAATAGAAATTAGTAATTTGTGTCACCTGATATCCTAACATTTGATGTTATAATGTATTTTAGAGATTTAATTTTGTGTTTTTTTACTGGTACATAGTGTTAAGTTCTATTGCAGTAAATTGCACTTAAAAATATATTTAAAATAGGTATATATACGTTTTATTGTTTTAAGAATTATAAAAAAAAGTTATCTTGTTTATTTTGTGCTATTATACCATAATAAGACGTAAAGGTAAAGCAAGAAAAGGCTGATAATGTCAAAACATTGCAAGTAAAACATTACGGAGCAAAGTGGGAAGAAGATGATGAGTTGTTGTGCTATATAAAACTTTTTTGCACAAGGCAACTTGGTCCCAGATTTACAAGAAACTCTAGATTTATGTGGTCCAGTTCAGAATTTTTCCACATTGATTGTATAGTTAAATTTTATAACCATTAAAGAAATAAAAATACAATTATTTTTTTGTTTATTTTTCTAAATCTCCTTAAACGTTTACAACAAAATGAGCAATCTCCAGCAATTCATATCAAAGTCAGCAATCTCCAATTTATAATTACCGATTTCACCTATACTATGCATCCTGGAGACCTTGTAGTTGGCTACTAGACTAACAACAACAATATTTCAATATAATATATAAAAAAAATTACAAATCTAGAATTTAAAATACCAAAATCAATTATCTCAATTTACTCAGTTTTAGTCTGACGGGAGATTGTTGACTTTGCTCTGACAGGCCTCAATAATTGGTAATAGTTTCTTAGTAACTTTGAGACTAACATAACTTTCCACATTCACTAGTAAAGAAAAAACGATTGTTACAAACAATTCTCAAACCAAACTCATTCTTTTCATCTAATTTAAGAAATATCTGAGAAAAAATATTTCATTTGTTTAGTATTTAAATCGTTTTTAAAATATTTAAATAAAATTATATATTTTGTTACAAATATTAATAATATTAACATGTTTCACTGCAGTGACTAAAATAAGTATTTTTTCAGGTAATCAGGACATCTTAATTTGTGGCAACTGTAGAGAAATGTTTTCGGATCTACACGATTTGCTTGAACACAAGAAAACTTACTGCAAATTGCGATTTACTTGTAAATGTGACTCCAATAAATCCAGTACGTATTTTTTCTAATTACTTTCAAAGGCTATTTATCTATATAAATTTTGTCTAACCAGCAGATGACCACCTGTGCCTTCCTAAATTTTCCAACAATTAATCTTCCAAAATCCTACTTTATTACTTCCGGCTCCTATTACATAAGGGAATAATTATTACTTAGAAAGAATTATAATTTGTAAAAACAAAATTATAAATGTACCTATATCTTAATTAATTAAAAAAAAGTTTTTAAACTCTTTATTTGTATTTATACAGCCTTCTCAGTACTCAGTACAATTACACAATTAATTTATTCTTAATTAAGTTAATTTTGGCTTTATTTATTACGGTTATAAAATTAGTGAAAACATTGAAAACTGAAAATTTAAAGCATTAAATTTATTATGCTTTAATGGCGATTTGATTTTTGATTACATTTACAGTGATGCTCTCTTAAATTGAATTAGTCATAGCGAGAAGGCAACCACTAATAATTCTAGTCAATAGCAATCTGTATCTCGGACATTTAGCAGTCAATTTATATGTAAAATTGTCCGTTGAATCCGCAAATATCGACAATAGTTATAAAAGAAGAACAGTTTTTTAAATAAAGTCAATTTTCTATATAATATGGAATTGCATATATCTCAAAAACTGCTGTACTTTTATAACTTTTAATGGCATTTTCGTAATCAGCAGACAATTTAACATAGGAATTTACTATTAAATGTCCGGAATACAAATTGATGTAGACTGCAGCTATTAGTTACTGCTTTTTCGCCATGACAATTAGTCATTTTTGACTAATTCATTTTAAGAGAGTAGGCACGGAATTTCAAACATCATAATTTGGTTTTCCTTGTGTGATTCTGTAAATAGCAGAGATACAATAATGAGCATTTTTTCTTTCGCTATCAAGACTAGAGACAACAGGAAGTAAGGTTCGTTGTCCATAAAGATAGTTTATATTTTAATGTCAACGCCGTTCGAAATTCCGTGTCCCCCATTGTACAAGTTCTGAACAACTGTAAGTCAAATTAATTTAATTTGTTTTTTTTTAGAATCGCCAACAGACGATAACACGTCAGCTTCATTACTTTGTGTTCAATGTAAAGACTCTTTCCAAAATGCGTGGGACTTAATGGTACACGCACAGGCAGCACACATGTTGAATATATACGAGTTAGGTGTTCCGTCACTTGGAAATTGTTCATCTCCACCATTGTCTCCCAGAGAAAACAGCACACCAGATAAGGTAAGAAACATTGCTTAAACATGGAAGGTTGAGTTTTTTTTGGAAGCTGTGTATTTCTTTAAGGACATTTTGAAAGACTCAAACAATAAGCAAATTTTATCTCTTACGTTAAATAAATGTTAATTTATTTCTTGAGTTGCTAAACAAATAAACATTTTCCTTAATTACAAAATAAGTCATAAAGAACCATCCTTGCATTCCAAAACGTTTTCTGAGAAATCCTTAAACGAATACACAGCTGCTAACGAAGTCAATAAATTAGCATTGTTTTTTATCAGCATATTTAAGAATTTTATTAAAATACTGTAGGTGTTTTCCAAATTGAAGATATTTTTGGGACATCCTTTATAAAATATAAACCTACATATATAACCGGTTATTGTTGACTGATTGTTAAAAATTAATACATCAAATGTAACACTCTAAACAAAACACATTTGTCATCTATCACCAAACATCATTTTTTAGTTTTTCAAATTTTTGTATTACTTGTAAAATTATGAGTGAAACGAAACAAAAATCCGGCAGCAGTACGAGCATCAACTCCAATTCATCGTGGTCAGTTGTAGAAGAGTCGGATAATAATATAAAAAGCCCAAACAACAAAAATGAAGTAGAAAGTGACGTTGATGTTGAGGAAAATGTTCCAAATGATTTGGTTTGTATAAACACAGACTCTGAATTCGAGAACGAATTAAATCATCAAGAAAAGCCAAATGATGGGTTTCTTACTTTTGATGAGTTTTATCAGGAGGAGATGGTAGAAAGTAACAACGGAAGTGAACACAATGATGGACCTCCACCTGCCAAAAAAAGAAAACTAATCAAGAAAAGCCCCAAAGCGGAAACAATAAGTATTCTATCATTGACTGCTTCTTTATTAACTATTACCGGATTAACTATTCTTATGATGATGTTTCCAAGTACTATAAGCTCCAATGACTATCAAAAAGTGCACGATAACTATATAGAATTAATGGCAGCAAAAGAATATTCATTAGATAATAATATTAACGATATAGCAAAGTCTGCAGAAGTCCTGGATATTTTACACAATTCTAATGTTATGGAAAAAGTGACTGGGATATTAGAAGATAACAAGGGTAATTTAAAGGCAGAAAACCTTAACAATGATTTTATTATTAATCTAGAAAATGAATTTGACAATGCTACAATAAATTACAAACCCATTGAAGAAGAAGATTTTTGTCCAATACCAAACCCAACACCTAACAAACCCAATGACAATAACAAAAAAATAGAAACCGAGTCCACCTTTATGGACAACAAAAATATTAAGTCAATTGGTAAAATGCTTACAAATCCTCAATTTCACAGGGTTATTTGCACACTTTTACAAGACGTTTGCTTGATAAAACTGATATACCAAATAAATAAAAAAATGGGTACAACGGAAAAAGCAACTCCTTTACCAAAAGTATCTTCTGGAAACATAAAACGAAAATCATCCGAAAGTATAAAAAGAAAACTACCAAGTGTTAAAGCAGCAGTACGCAAAATTAATAATAGGGAATATTTAGAAGCAAAAGTAGAAAGAAATATTAGCAGAGTCGTTAAAAAATATCCTCATTTAGATCGATTCACATCTAAGTTAACTCCAAAACCTAAGCCTATTGAATGTATAAAAAAAGATATACCCAGCAATATATTTCAAGTTAGTGAGAATGGTAAAAGTGAATGTGAAAGACGTTTTGAGTTCTTGGAAAAAAAACTTAACTTTATAGGAGTAAGTCATAAAAAGAACATTCTAGACATCAAGCAAAAATTTAAAACAGAAATTTCTAACATTGGCAATAATTCGGGCACTAAAGCTAGACTAGATAAAATACATGAAACTCACGAAAAGTATATTCAAAGGCTAAAAATTGGAAGAGAAAAATATTTGGAACAATTACAAAAACTAAGAGATGAACGACAGAAGATAATGAAAGAATTATGTAAGAAAAAAATGGAAAAGTTTCAAAAAGATCAGTCCGTGGGAAACTATGCTGTTCCTTTACCAGGTTGCTACGATTTTAAAGAAAAACTAAAATTAATGAAAGATAAGGAAAGGTTTGGCGATTCTAGATTTTGCAACTACTCGTCATTAAGCTTATCAAGATTGCATGAAGAAGTAAATAAAGTGGTTAATAAAAATAATTCAATGATCGATGTAGTTAAAAAAGAAAGTAGGCCTATTATATCAAAACCCAAAAAAAGCAAAGTAAGAACTAAAATATCAAAGAAAAAACAAAATATTTCGACTGATTTGCAAGATAATGATAACAAAGAATTGACAGTAAATACGGTTACAAAATCTGATTCAATGGTGCCACTTCATAAACAAGCAATACTCGAAAGCAGTGATACCGACATTTCTATACACGAATCGAGCGGACCAGAAACGAATTTCGAATTGATAATTAAAAACAAATTTAAACCAAACAAAAATGAGCTCTATTCGGCAATTTTCGATGACAAGGCTTTATCCATTCACAAAAAAGATTTGGAAAAGTGGAACAACTCTTTGCCAGAACCCTTGCCAATTAAAATTATAAGCAAGCAAGATCCTAAAAAGGGGTATAAAGAAAAAATAATTATCAAAGGAAAACTTTAACTCGACAATTCTAATGGCATGTGAAATAAACAATTTGGATTATGATTGTATTTTTATTTGATTGGATATAAAATAAAGGGAGGAATATTTTACATTTTACATACAATTTAATTTTTGTTGATATTAATTTACAACAATAATACATAATTTATTTTAAAAGTCAATAAGCTAAATTCCTTTAAATACATATCAAAAAATAATAAAGTTTGATTTAAATCGGTTTTCCAGGATTTATAGGAAATAAGTAAAATTATTCGGTATAAAGTTTATTTTCGTTTAATGGCAAATTATTAATTAATAAATTAAAAATTATAGTCCCCCCTTGACATCTGTTAGATAGATAATCTAAACCAAACTAGAATAGTACTTTCTGTAACAAGTTTGGAATACAGCATATTCCGCTCGAGGAAAAATTTGACACACGAGCCGAAGGCGAGTGTGACGGTTTTACGAGAGTGGAATATGCTATTCCAAACGTGTTTCAGACATTATTTTCTCTACGACTACGTAAGAATAGTATATATATATATATATATATATAGCTTATATAATTTTAAACAGAGAAAAGAAACCAAGCTTTTGTATTGTCAAACCATTTTGTGCCGTCACAATTTTATAATGTAAATTATAATAAATTTAAACAAATGGTATACTCAAATCTTTATTATAATTAAAATTAGTTATTTACACTAACTAATAAAAAAAATAACATTGTAACAAATACAAAACTAATTTTACAAGTAATCTATGTCAACATCTCTTCTTTTTCTACATTTTAAAGGTCTTTTTTTAAACTTTTTGAATCTGTCAAAACTTCAAAGCCGGTATAGTAGGTAACTGGTTTATCATTTTAATATCAAATTTATTATTTTGATTTGTATATTTGAAAAACAATAAATATAACTAATTTTTTGTGCCTAAACCTTAATTATATACTGCTATTATTTTTTAATTAATAAATAATACAGTAATATTTAAATATTTTTAAATTTTTTACGTTTAGTAAACAGCCAGGAGATGTCGTTACTTGTGACCATTCTTAAACAAGAGTAAGAATATTCTCGCACAGTATTGCAGAAAAACATCCTTTCTATGATCAAAAATTACACTAGAATGTTACTATTCTTAAGTAGTCGTAAAGAAAAGTTATTTTCTATTGAATGGAAATATCTTGATATCAGATTTCCACGAGATAGAAAACCCACTTTATTTTCGTTTAATGGCAAATTATTAATTAATAAATTAAAAATTATAGTCCCCCCCTTGACATCTGTTAGATAGATAATTTAACAAACTAGTTCTTTTCTTTACGATTTTCTCTCAATAAATAGTCCAAGAGCCAGCGACACCAAGAATAGTTTGAATGACAAAACGATTTAAACATGTCATTTTTTTTCGTGTAAAGGGTGTCTCAATAGGACCGCTGGATTTAAATTTCACCACTCGGAAAAAATAGGAACATGGTGAAATTTAAATCCAGCGTTCCTATTTAAAGGAAAAATATTACTTTTTGGTCACTTAATACCTTATGATATATTTGAGGTTATTATATTGCAATCCAAAATATAAAAAAACTGCCTGTTTTTACTTTTGGGTTAGAGTTTTTCAAAAACCTGATGCAATAAAGTAATTCTGAGGATTTTAATTTAGCACGTCAAACCAAAAAAGTTAAGAATTTACAATTTTGATTTATTTTTCTCTTTAAAATTATTGATGAAAGTTGGATTCGCACGGACAACGAAAACGTAAAAGTTATATTACTAATGAAGTATAAATTTGTACCTTAAGTTAAATGATCTTGTCTGGTTCAAGTTTGTATTGTAAATTATAGCACCCGCGAGCACAATTAATGTTGATTAACTTCCACCTTATTTTTTGCAACGCCATCCTTTTAATGCTCCTAATTCTGATAAATTTATTTTCTTAATCATATTCTTCTCTGATTATGCGGAAAAAATGTATTTATTTATTTGGCTTTCGTGCACAGCACAGCCATCAATTTTAAGGAAAACAACTTTAAGCAATTAAGTTAGTATCTCCTTTTAGATTTTTCATAGAATGTCTTCAAAACTTAATATATGATTTTGTGACACATTCGCAAATAATTTTAAATTTTATTAAAGCACAGATTCCAAGAAACTAATTCTTTAGTTACATTTGTTTTTATACGCTATTTTTTTATTTTGTATCTTACGAGCTCGCTCGCCTACTGTTATTTACAACGTTTTTTATAATCGACTTAGATTAACTATATAAGTTTATTTAATATATAAAAGTTTACTTTCTGACTCTACGTTAGGGTCCGTTGTTATCCAAAAAAAATTTATAGTTATGCCCCTTACTTCCTAAATTTATACCATAAAACTTAGGTTTAGATAACAAA